GCTATTGTTCTGCCAATTAGATCTCACGTCCGTTGCCGTCGCCGTCGTGGTTGCGTAAGTCCCTAGTAAGCAAATTAACCCGGGGATCTGATGTTAACAAAGGACTACAATTCTTCAGCGAAGATCTGAGAAGTTTAAACCAATGTGGGTGAGTTTTTAGGGAAAAACGACACATTCTTTTTAATTGTTTACAGGAGCTGGGTTTTTTCGAAAATTGTTCTGAATTGCAAGGAGACTTGATTCGTAGTGTGCCAGCATAAACAAAGGTCCAAAAGAAAAGAATATACATAGAGGGAACAAAAAGGATTCAGAGTGGATATGAAAACACGAATTGTACTTGACGAAACTGTAAGCATTTAGACTACGTTCTCATTGAAGTTATACGGTTATCGACCAAGCCTAAAATTGATATAACTTGCCCACAGATTATCAGTTTCAGGTAAAGTGCCAAGTAGCCTGTGTCATCTACCAACCAACCTTTTCACAAGCAGCCACCTGAACAAGAGCCTCCAAACCTCCCTCTGGATTGTCAACATTTCCAGAAGCCATCAATTTCTCAATAGCTTCCTGTAAATAAGTGCGTGTATACTGCTCAATAAACTTGATAAGTAATGATTTTTTTATCAAAATGCACAATAACGCTGCAAAATGTCGTCAATTCTCTCAGAAAGTATGGTATCAAGCTCAAGATGTCAGACGAGTGAAAGAAAGTTTGGGCACATTTTGGCCGAATTTCGCGGTGATAAAATTTCTTTCCTTTCTTCCTTTCTTCCTTTCTTTCTTATCCTAGGTAGCGATGAAATTAGCGTTTTCCTTGTTCTTAGACAAACCTGAAAGTGAGATGTATTCTTGTTCAAAGGCAACACGTTATGATAACCAAACGTTGGAGTAGAATTCACATTATTTGGGTCAGGAGCAGCAACCCTTTAAGAAAAGAAAGACAAAAAGGACACAGGGACACTTGTCAGTACCATCACGAGATCATAATTGACAAACAGAAAGCCGACAGAGTAACGAACAAACACACGATCGGACAGTCACATGCAGAGAAGGAAACATAATTTCTTGCACCCGTGGATTGTTCAAGTTGACTCCGCTCGTTCAGTTTCTCAGGTTTNGCACAGAGAGAGTCACTGAACAAGTTTACTCGTAGATACCGATACTTACATCACAGGATCTGTGTCCATATAAGGAGCGGTGGGTTTGTCAACAAATGCACCAAGACCAAGACGAAACCTTGAAGTTAGATTTGAAATCTCGTCCGCTGTAAAGACAAAGTGACGGTACCCACCCATTTAAAATCATTTTTGAGAAGAGATAAAGTTTCTTGAACAAGTGAGTAAAGGATAGCTAAAGAACAAACAGATGAACTTTTAAAACCTTCGTCATATTGATCAAGTTTCAGAAAAAGCCAAAACTATGGGACGTGTTAAGGACGTGTCATCATAATATCACACGTAGCCAGTGAGAATGAACAAATTAAACTTTCTGAAGCGTGGGGAAGAGCGAGTGAGAAGTCTCGCTTAGTTGTTAGTTTTGCACCCGATTGGTTACGAATATGACACGAGTTTTCCGGACTAATTATTGACTAGGATTGGGTAAAACTAATGCCGTGTCTTTTAATTTCTCGGTGGACCCGACATGAATAAAATCGGTTCAGAAAAGGCGTTAAGAATCTCACATGACGCTATCAATTCTGAGATGATTGCCCATTACTTTTATAGTCCAGAGTAAAAAAGCCATGATACGATCACACAAACATTTTCCGAATCTTGTTACCTAATAGGTGTCCAAGTGATTTTATTGATTCCTTCTTGATAGACCTTGATACGTCCGTCAAGTAATACAGATCAACCGGGAAGTTCCTTGGGGTGTGGACATTTACTGTGATAGTCGTGGAAATTCCTACCATGTGAAAGCACTATATCAGATGGTTAACTTCACAAGTTTACCGCGGTTTTCGAAGAAAATAGGAGACGACTTTACTACAGAACACATTTCAGGCAATTCTTTCTCCCAAAATCCCTAGAAACGGCTGCCACCGCCAATCGGATCTTACATGTTAGTGCAACTTCGTCCAAAATGGCGTTAGAAAAGGTTTGACTGCCATCAACTGAAAATCGTATTAAACATCATCCTACATTTCCTCAATCTTCGCGTGTTCTTTTCATTTTGCCTTCAAATTCAACATCGTCGAGAGCGTTAACTAACTAACAGTATCAACGGTGACGACCCTTAAGTCCGTTTGTTGCACCTGAAATGTTGCATATGTTAAGCCACTACACTCAAAACATCCTCGAACAATGTTGGATTCGAAGATTTTTTTATTTTATTATTTTTTTTTTTTAACCTCAACAACCTTTATTTATTCTAATTTCTAATGACTAATGACTATTTTAACAAATTGGACATGTCCACAGGTAGCTAGCTAATCTAGGTGGGTCATGTCTTAACTTAGAAAAATAGTTGTTATACAAGTTTACAGAAATCAGGAATTATTTAAAGAGAATAGGTACACAGGTTTACAGAAATCAGGAAGTTAAATAAAAAGAGTAGGTATAAAAACAAAGATACTACAAAAGTACAAAAATAGAACAATTAAGGCTATACTTGTTCTTCTAGAAATACATTAAAAACCTTAGGAAAATTTGACCTTTTGAATGATGTTTCGTATGTCGAGATAGGAGTCTTTCGAAGACAGAATATTGAAAAGTACTCTTTTAATTTTTCTCTTAAAGTCATATTTTGAGAGATTCCTTAATGTAAGAGGCATCTCGTTTGAAATTTTTGTTCCAACTCTAGAAAACGAGTTCAATCGAATAGAGAGCCTAGTGCTTTGTGTGTAGAAGTTGTGCGAAGCAGAGGATCGGGTATTATAGGGGTGAATATTAGAAATGTCTTGAAACAGGTCTCGAATACTTCTAGGCGCGTTTTTGTGTCTAATATCAAACATCAGGTTAGCTGTAAGTTCATAATAAGAAAATTGTAGCGGTAAAATAAC